ATGATCAGTTTAGATGAGAGGGCCCAGGGGAGAAAGGTGACATAGTCACTCTGTTTATACTGTATGGGCTCAGGTTCACAGTTCTTCCTACTTGTTATCAGCCCTAGGTCCCCTGGGGAACTTAATATCACCTTATTAGCTGTTGCAGGAAGACTCTTAGTTCCATTTTGTCTTTGTAGCCTTAAGTCTGAGAGGCAGCAGGCAGAGTGAATAGAGAGACATTGAAGTCAAGATGATCTAGGTTCAGTTTTGCATCTGATGTGCCCTGGCTGTATGGTCCTGGGCAAGTCATTTAACATCTCCAGTCTCTAGGACCAAGAGTCTAGAGTCTAAGACTGTAAATTGCAGAGAATGCCAACCTGAATTTATAAAGGGAGTTCCTCCTCCTCTTCCCCTAAGAGTATCCTATACCAATGAAATCATAGGTCCATTTCCTATCTGGAGGACAGCTGAGTGGCTACTAGGAGGGCAGTAGATGGAGTACTGGGCTTAGAGTCAGGAAGACCTGAATTCATATTCTTCCTCAGATACTTACTAGCTATGTGACCTTGGGCAAATCACTTAACTTCAATTTCCTCGACTGTAAAATAGGGATACTAATAGTGCCTTCCTCCCAGGGTTATTGCAAGAATCAAATGAGATATTTGTAAAGTGCTTAACACAGTGCCTGGCATATAGCAGTCACTTAATAAATGCTTATTTCCTTCTTCCTATCTTAGGGTTTGCAGTAACAGGGCTTCATATGTGCATTCATACCTATAAGATATAATAATGACTCCAACCAAAGCCTAAAAGGATCATTTGAAATAATCTAGCTGACCTAGTGATCACAAAGAAAGTGAAAGAAGCCTTAGGGGCATGTAAATGATTTTATGATCTTTTGAGGGGCCAGAGCAGGACATGTCATGATTCTAACCAACAGAAGTTAGGACTCAGGGAGGCCAAATCTGTTTCCAACCTACCTTTCCAGCCGTATTTCATTTTGCTCTTCTTAATAATTCTACATTCTAGCCAAATGAGATATTTGTAAAATACTTAGCACAATGCCTGGTACATAGTAGGCAATTAATAAATGCTTGTTCCTTTCCCTAAACTAGACTGCTAGCTGTTCTTCAAGCTCAGAATTCTATGGGAAGGCTCAAAGGCTGGGAGGTTTGTTTCTGGATACACACATACACACACACACACACACACACACACACACACACACACACACACACACACAAGAAAAGTTGAAGCTGAGGGCAATACCTCTTCACAATAACTGCTCTACCTAGGGTTTTTGTTCTTGTCTTTTCCCTCTCCTTCCCCCTTTCAGTTGCATGGGAAACCTAAAGGATCTTGTGTGGTTGGGAAAATTACAGTGCCTGAGACCTACCTAGCTCTTGTGAAATTTCTTGGCAAGGTTCTCCCACCCAAAAATGGCATTTGAAAGCACAGTATCTCCAGAAGGACTTAAGCAGGAGGTACAAAGAATTTCTAACTCTAAGTCAGATAGTTTACTGGGCCAATGGATTCCAGATGCAGAATTTTCAAGTACCTGTAGTTGTAACTTAGCCACCTGGCTGTTCTGTGTTCCAAAAGAACTTGGGCTCTAGAAATAAAGATTTTCCTTCTGCAGAAAAAAGCTATGCACAACTCAGACTCCAAGATTTGATGGATCCTTTTGGAGAAGAGGTATCTGAGCATTTTTTCTATAATCTTTATGAGGTGTATGAAGGGCCTGGCTGCCCTCCTATCATCTGGGCTGTAAGCTAAAAGATAGAATCTACTTTCCCTCTTAAGGAAAAGAAGTAGTACAACAGTACCTAGCAGTAACCACATGCCCAATGGAGTACCACTGAACAGAGAGAGACATACAAAACCAATTTGGAAAGCAGACCCAGTGGAAGCAGGTTAATGACATCACTGGAAGACACTGGCAATATTGACACATGAGTGTGCCCTCTTCACACAAGTGTCCTAGGTATGTCCACTCTTCCCACCAAGAGTACATGTTTGTGTATGCTCTACATTTATGGGGGAAATGTTCTATTACTACTTATCTTCAGGTGCTTTTTCATTAAATGCTTTTGCTTTGAATTAAGTGTTTTATCTGGCTGACTAGCGAAAGTAAATAAATTGTTAGGGGGCTCATTAACTATGGTTTTTGTGTGAATTTAGAGAGAGTGCTTTAACTTGAAGTATCTTGTCTGGAGTAAGCCACGTGCAAGTAAAGGTTGCCTGCAGGCACTCTAATTTCATCATGTATATCTGTTGTTTATCTTTCATTTTTGAAGAGGACCAATGACATGGGGTGACATCTTGACTTGTGCAAGAATTGGATTTAAGTGAGGTGGAGTTATACAAAGTCATCAGCTCCACTCTCCCTTCCAGAGTCAAAGAAGTCCAGTGGCAAGACAAAAGTCAGGGTGACTGGTGATGGCCCAGGATGCAGTGATTGACCTTGGCACCTTCTGACCAAGCTCTAAGTTCTCCACAGCATCTGCTTTAGCCACCTTTATGGCCATTGGAACAAATTGTTCTTATCTGCCCATTCCACCAGGGAAAGTCTTCACATGCTTGGGGAAGACACCCCTAACTCACCAACAGGTCTAAGACCTGTTGGTTATACTCAAAACCTGGTTTAGCCTATCTGCTGAGAGAGTTTTACTAGGGTGTGGCCACTACGTATGCTACAGCTTCTTGGAGCCACAGGTGAGGGTCGAGTGTCAGATGGACACCAAAGGTGGATGAATAGCCCTGAAAAGGGTTCAGCAAGTCCTCACACCAGAGGTGCTACTACTCCTTAACTATCCCATATACCCGATTTATATCTGTACATTATTGCAGACTGTATCTGATGCCCAGAATGGCCTCCCATCTCACCTCTGTCTTTAAGGTACTTTATCTTTTTTTTCCACGTCTCAATTCAGGTGCCTCTTTCTTAGTGAAGTATTCTGTGACTTGGCTCTATCATTCCTCATATTACATTATATTTACATATCTATGTACATGTCATATCTCCCTCTTAAAACGTAAGCTCCTTAAGAGGAGAGACTTTTCTGTGTTATTGAACCTCTAGTGCCTAGGGCACTCTGCTTTGTGTAGAGTTAACAACAAATTGGTAGGCTGAATTGGATTGATCTTCATGCTATGCTATGACTTAGGGGTTCCTTCATTTCTTGTCCCTAAATGCTAAATTTCTAACTCTTATGTTCTCTATCTCTGTCTCTCCTCTCAATCTCCATGCCCCCCCAATCATTCCCCATCTCTATTTCATTCTCCCCCACCACCACCTGTCTCCTTCATTTCTGTTCCTTCCTAGTCCCTTGAGCTCTGTCCCATATTCCCAGGTTCCTCAATCTGTCTTCCTCCAATTTCATTCGCCCTTCCCCCTTCTCAGTGGGAAAATATCAGCTGGTTATCAGTGTTTCCACCTGGGACTCTAGAGCAAATAGGGTTGCAGGCCCTAAGATCTGAGAGTTGGCAGAGCTGAGTGAGGTAGCAGTGTCAGGAGACTTAGTCTAGGCCTAGGACAAGGCGTGGGAGTAAGGTGGGCACCCTTCCCACATAGCAGGTGCCCCCCCAGTTGTATCCCAGCTCTTTCTTCACTTTCTGCTCTTCCCTGTTGCAACATACCTGGGTCACAAGTTTCCTTCCCTAGAATTGGAAGTCTCTAAATTGCTCCCATCCTCCCATCCCTGGCCTTTTTCCCTCCTACCCTGCCCATCCCTTCAAGTCCCATCAATCCTCAGCCTTTGGGGGCTATCAATCATGGGGGAAGGGACACTAATGGGCTTTTTTTCCCTGGAAGATGGGGGTGGAGGGGTGGGAGGACACAGTATCCCTGGAGCCAAAGAGATGATAGATGAGACTAAAGGGAGGGTTGGGAAGGGGGAGATGCCCTCACAGGTAGGGCTGGAGGCCAAGAACCTGGCAAGCACCTCGATCCCTTTGGCACCTCCTCCTATTTTCCTCATCAGTGCAGCTCTTCTCCCATCAGTCCTTAGGATCTGATGTCTCTCTTTCAAGATAGCTCACCCATTCTTATGTTTGAGGCCTCTGAAAAAGCCCAGGATGGGTCCTGTAATGCTAGAGGAGATGAGATGGGTGCTGGGGCTCACCATCCTCTCCTCCCTTCACCCATCACCTCCACCCCCAACCCACTTTGGCCCCATATTTATCCTCTCATCCTCTACCTTACCCTCCTCCCCATGGGAAGCTTAAGCTGGTTATCTACATCTCCACCTGCTCTCAAGAGCAAACAGAGGGAGTGGAGAGGTGGTAGCGGCAGCGCTGGCGCTACCAGGTGCCAAAGGGAGCTAGGGATTCCTCTTTTACTGGTACTCTGCCCCTGGGAAATTTCCACCAGTTAGAGTCCTTCCTAAGGTCAGAATCCTTACTACATCTCAGCTCTCTGAAGTCTGTCCCCTGATGAAGAGTATTTGAGAGTAACTGTCAAGGGCTATTTGAGTTGGAGTGTCATTGTGACCTGGGCTGCCATTGGGGCCTGGCCTGTTACTGTGGCTGTAGTATTACTGGGATCAGAAATATGACTGGTTGTGACACTGGGACCAAGGTATCACTGAGTCCAGAGGTATCACTGGAGGCTGTTATTGAGTCAGATGTTTTCGGAGCCAAGCTGTCATTGGGACTTGGGATGTCACTGTGCCCGTAGTCCGGAGTTACAAGAGGGGTGTGCTGGAACAGAGGATTCTAATTGAAAGGCTCTGAACTTTCCCTGCCCCCCAGTCCGCACCTCACACCTGTCCCCAAATGGAACATGACCCAAATGGATGTCCCACTCTACATTTTGGTGCCCCATAGGTCAATACAGTAGCATAGCTAAAGTACAGTACAATTAAAACACCGGATCTTGTCTCCTACCACCCCTTCGTTGCCTCCCCCGCCCCCCATCCGCAATGGCAGCTGCAGCCCCGCGCCTGACTCCCTCCAGAAACTCGAGCTAGAACATCAGTAAAGAGCACCCCCCCATCCCCCAACGCCCACCCCCAAGGCCGAGCGGCCGCGCTGCAGAGAGGGGGGCGGAACCCCAGCTTGGCTTAGCTCTGGAGGAGAGGGGCGGGGCTCCCCAGGCCACCCCAGCCCCAGCAGCACCAGATCCCGCTGCGGGGGAACGAAGCTGGGAGTCCCCTGGAAAGGGAGAGGGAGATTTTTAGGGGTTTGGGGGAGCGGAGGCAGAATTACATAGGGCATAGGAGGACACAGGGAGAAACCCGAAGGGAAAGATTTGCGGGGAGTCAAAGAGAGACCCAGGGGTAGAGAAACGGGAGGAGAGGCACGCGCAAAGGGAGGGACAGAGGGACGGAAGGAGAGAGGGGGAGAAATCCGCGTGCGAGCGCAAGGTGCCGGCCGGAGACAGAGGGCGGAGCGGACACACACACCAGAGGGGCCAGTTCAGGGGCACAGAAGCGACTGACACGAGAGCAGGTGGAACCGTTGGGAAGCGGCACCCTAGGTGCCGGGTCAGCAGGGGGTCTTGTCCCAGGCCCGCCTCTACCCTTGGGCTATGGAGCTGCCGGGGCTGAATCGGAGCGCGCCAGAGCTAGAGTCCCAGTGCGGCCCGGGTCCCCTGTCCCCCAACAGCAGTACTAACAGCAGTGCCAATAGTAGCTGCGAATCTCCCCGAGGAGGCTCTGGAGCCAGCAGGACCCCCCGAGGTAAGTATTCCCCTTCTTCGATGCCCCTTTGCCCCATCTCTCTCCCATTCCCGTGCCTCCTTCATCTAAGACCCTGTCCCTCTGGGCCCCAACCCCCATTCCCTACCTCTCCCTTCTCCAGCTTTCTCTGCCTGTCCTTTACCCCTAGTGCCCCTGGGACCCTACCACAGGCCACAGAATGGAAAGCCCAAGACCATGGATGTGGGGTGAGGAGAAGAGCAGGGGTAGGGTAGCAAGACTGGCAGAGAGCACATAAGGGGGAGATTGCTCTAGTGATCAGGAAGCTAACCCCTTCAGGAAAATTCTTGATCTGCAAAGACTCAGAAACCATCTGTGTGTAGGGTCCAAATGGAGCATATATTAAATCTGGTGTTGAGCCTAAGAAGCTGCCAGAGCTGAGGAGGTACTGGAGTCTGAGAGGATTGGATACCCTTGTTGACTGAACTCCAAATTTTTCTGACCCCCACCTCCTGGGAACTGGGACCCTTCTCTCCAGGGTTTTCCTGAAAATATTTCTCCCACTGGAATCTCCCTAAACTGATCCCACTCCTTGTCCCATGGCCTGTTCTCTCCCTTCCTGGAGCAGTCTGTCTCCGCAAAAGCATGTCTGTTGCTCACCCCATCCCCATTCCAAGACTGCTCATTCCTCTCACATACACTCCTGTTACTCTGAGCTCAGTTCCCTCAAATCCCTCATTCAAAATCTCTTCCTTCTCATCTCCCCTGGCTTCCTGGCATCCCTTGTCACTACCATTCTCTCCATCTCCCCAAGAACACTGTAGCATCCCTGCCACACCCCTTCATCCATCTCTGGATGCTGGTCCTTCTGCCACTAGCTGATCCTACTGGTGTTTTTGGCCTCTCTGCCCCTGCCCCTCAGTACCCCCTTCTACCTTACACAGGCCCCTGATCTCTTTGCTACCCCTGGTGCCTTTCACCTTCACTTCAATCACCATCTTTCATTTCCTGGAAGACCTGAGTCACCTTTCCCAAGGTGCCTTCCCAATTTGACTCCCCTTCATTCATGCCCTTCATCTGGGAATCCTTCAGGGCTTATAGAAAGTGAGCAACTAATTTGTACTTGCTTTTTGTTTTCTTATCTCTCTATCCAGAATGTGTACTTTCCCAGGGCAGATATATCTCTCACTGAATGAATGTTTGAATGAACGAATGGTAAAAACTTTGAAAATCAGAAAGTGCTACATATGTCATGTGATATAAATAAAAATAACAAATTAGTTACTTAAAGAGATGAAGATAGAGGAAAGATACAAAGATGGATAGAGGCAGACTTTCAACCTTTTTTTGGTCCAGGAACCAGTTGGCCAGAGATCCCCAGAGGACTTCTTGTGGCATGTCCCTGTTAACCCCCGACTAGTACAATATGGTGGATTTGGAATTAGAGGAGCCCTGATTTGAATCCTGCCTATGACACCATCTAATAAGTGATCTTTGTCAAGTGATTTAGCCACTCTAGGCCTCAATTTCTTCATCTATATAATAAGGGAGTTGAACTAGATGCCCTCAAAGGTTCCTTCTAGCTCTGAATCAATGACTAAAATGGGGGGAGGGGAAGCCTGGAGTGCCCACCTCAAAGGACTGTCATGCAGGTTAAATGAGACTTTGTATTACAGCATTTTGCTAACTTTAAAGGTGTTTCCAATGATAGTACTAACATGGACTAGTGGATGGAAGGTCAGTCAGCCTTGGAACCAGAAAAACCAAACTTAAAGTCCTGCTTCTGACAAAGACAAACTGTGTGATCAGGGGCAAGTAAGTCACTTATAACTTTAGTTATAAACCAGGGAGTTTCCACATATAGGACTTCCTCAGATTAAAAGAAAAAAAATACCCCTGGAGAAGAAGAGCAGTGCTTATAAGACCTCGTGAGAGGATGTCTAATTTTTATGCAATATGAGAAGTAAATTAGTAATTCCCTCTTGGAACCAGAGGATTGATTAGGACCACTTATGAAATAATATAGAGACAGAAATATATGTAAGAGAGATAGGAGTGTGTGTGTGTGTGTGTGTGTGTGTGTGTGTGTGTGTGTGTGATAGAGAGAAAACTGACAAATGTGTATAAGGAAGAAGGAGAGAAGACTGAGCTAGGAGAGTATGTGTAGATGACAGCATATGAGAGGGTTTCAGAGATGGACGAGTGTGTGAGACAGAAAGGAAAGGAAGGCTAAGCTGAGGGATTGTGTGTGTTTGTGTCTGAGAGGAAAGGGAAGGAGGTTCTAAGGGAGGGAGGAGTGCACATTTGTGTGAGGGTGTGGGGTGGAGGGAGCCTGGGAGATGGAGTGAGATTAAAGCAGGAGAGTGAGGGAGTGAAATGGGTGAGCGGAAGACAGGCAGACTTAGAAATAAGACCCAGTAGCTGGACTCAGCTAATGAACAAAGGGGAGGCTCCCTGCTCTATGCTCATACTCAGTTTAACCTGGCATTTAAACTTGCTTTGGCTGATATTCCTGATGAGAGTTGGGGCTGGGAAGGGTCAGAGAAGACAAAGCCCTGGCCCACAGTCCCGAAGGTCACAATTGTATCTGGTGCTTTGATCAACCTGTGCTCCTTCCCTTCAGTCCCACCTCCTTCTTCCCTTTGGCCTTGTCATTCTACTTTCCTAAATCCCCTTCTCCTCTCCAGAAGAAAGTTCTTTCCATCTTGGTCCCCATATCCACTCTTCTGGCTGCTAGAGAGCACTGCACTAACATTGCAGCTGTTTCCTTTGCTGCAAAGATCTCAGCATCACAGATCCAAATCTGGGAGGGAACTCAGAGGCCACCTAGTCCACCCCCAGCCTCCATTTTGTGGATAGGAAAATTGAGGCCTAGGAAGAGCAAACAATTGCACACAGGAAGTGAGCCTCAGAGGAAAAATTTAAAACCCTTTACATCCGCACTGTCATTAACTTGCTCTGTGACCTTGAGCAAGTCATTGTGTCTTTTGGGCCTTTAATTTCCTCATTTGTGCAATGAGGCCAGTTCCAAAGAGAGGTCAGTGTTTCCAAGAAGAAAAAAAAAAGAGGAATTGGACACTTGGAGCTTGAAATATATCATTACAAAAACTATAATCACATTTCTATGGTCTTTAAGATTTACAAAGCACTTTCCTCATAAGAAGTATGTAAACAGGTCAAATATGATCACCACCAGTTTTAAAAATGGGTAGGACAGATGACAGTAGAAAACAAACTCCTTCTAGGCAGGAATTATTTCATTTCCTGTGTATATTGATAGGATTTAGCACAGTGCCTGTCCTACGGTAAGCACTTAAAAATTCTTATTAATGGATTGATTGATAAGAAAACAAAGGCTCAGAGAAGAAAATTGCCTCCCACAGTAAAAGTTTTTACACTGAAGTGTAATAGAAGCTCTAGACTTGAAGTTGAAGTTCTGGCTAGGTCCATGGCAGCTTAGCAGGTAAGAGCCAAGGCAGTGGAATCCCAGGGTCTAGATTGAAATCCTACAGCTAATGTTCAGTATCCATACAACTGCAAGTCAGTTAATCTTGGTGGGCTTCAGTTTCCTTTTCTGTGACATGAGATGGTTGGGCTAGATGATCTTTGAGATCTTTTCTAGCCCTCATTTATGCTCTCAGTCCCGATACTTACTGGTCTTATGACTATGGGCAAGTCACTTTACTGTTGTGAACCTCAGTTTCCTCATTTGTCATAGGTGGCTAATAATACTTGACCTCCTGATCTCACAGAATCTTGGAGCTGAAAGGGATCTCCCAGGTATCTAGTCCAACCTGTACATGAACAGGAAGTCCTTATATGATATCCCTAACAAGTAGAAAACCAACCTTTCCACTTGAAGACCTCCAATGAAAAGGAGCTCATTACCAAGCATCCCATTCGACTTTTGAAAAGCTCTAATGGTTAGAAAATTTTTCCTTACACCAAACTGAAACTCTCAGCAATTTCCACCCACTGATCATAATGCTAATTTCTGGAGCTAAGCGTCACAAGTCTAATTTATCCTCCAAGTGACAGCCCTTCCAGCATTCAGCTATCATGTCTCCCCTGAGCTTTCTCTGCTACAAGCTAAACATCCCCAATTCTTTCAACCAGTTGTTTAATGGCGCAGTCTCCAATCACCCTACCATTCTGGTTAACTTCATTAGGACACTGACTCAGTGGTGTCAAACTCAAATAGAAATAAGAGCCACTAAAGCATACAGAAGGATCCCCATGGGCACATCTTGACTTAGAAAACCACATGTTAACATTATCCATATTTTACTATATTTGTACGTATTTCATTAAATATTTCCCATTCCATTTTAATCCAATTCAGACCACACTTGGGAGTGTTGTAGGCCTGCAGGCTGCACGTTTCACAGCTCTGTTCTAACTTATCAATATACTTCCTAAAATGTGGCACACAAAACTGAGTACAATACTCTAGATGTGATTTATCCATGCAGAACTATAGCCTATCTATTATGTCCCTTGTACTGGGCATTATACTTCTCTGAACTCAGTCTCACCTTGGGTTGGATTTTTTGGCTGCTCTGTCCCTCTGTTGACTGATAATTGACCTTGGAATCCCCAGGTTCACCTTCAGACAAACCAATTATCTAGCCATGCCTTTTCCAATCCTGTACTTCCTCGGTTGATCTTTTGAACTCAAGAATAGGGCATTATATTTGTCCCTATCAGACTTCCCCTTGTTAGATTTGGCTCATCATTCTAACCTACTGAGATCTTTTTAGATCCTTACTCTGTCATTTAATTTGTTTATGACAGTTGTAAACCTGGTAATCATTCTAACCTCTTCATTCATGTTTTGCTGATAAAAATGTCGAACAGCACAGAGACAAGAATATAATAGATAGTGCAATGGATAGAGTTCTGGGCCTATAGTCAGGAAGACCTGAATTCAAATCCAGCCTCAGACACTTACTACCTGTATGACCCTGGGCAGATCACTTAACCTTGCTTCAGTTTCCTCAATTATAAAATGGGGATGATAACAATGGTACCTGCCTCCCAAA